GAGTTTCCAACGTCCGATAATCCACTTGAATTATTGACTTTCAAATACAAGCCCAGGGACGGCTTTACCTTAAATTCTACCATAAAGATGAAAGCGTTTTGTTTATAAAACTTTTGCGTAATAATATTGTGCAAAGTAGCATTTTCTTACTCACATAAATGCACAGGTTAGCCCCTTTACACCGACCTCGTATCTTTTACTGTTTCCGAGATCCCGGTATAGTTATTATTATAAGTTATGCGGGATTTTCGAGTCGTCTGATCGATAAAATAAATGTTTGAGTCATTTACTAAACCCCGCGATCAATAAAAATTACCCAAAATATAGAGAAGAAAGCTGAATCTCAACGTCGAGGTATGAAAACTACTCCAAAAAGTTTGTTTTGTGCAAAAATTTATTTCAAACCAAGCGAATTATTTTTTTGATGTTAAATACTATCTTAGGTCATTATTCTTTTTAAAATCATCATAGACTTTGTAGATATTCATCATCCATTTGTTGTAGAATAATTATGCTGAAGAGCAACAATAACTACTTCGACTTCTTTCAAGTCATTATTTTCGAGCAAATTCCACAATATCTTCAAAGGAAGTAAATATGAATCACAAATAATAACAGCATGGGGAGCTGAAGATATACCCTTTTGGAGGTGCTCAACAGTTTCATTTATATTTTATAGACAGTACAAAAATTGCTAATATTTTCTTAAAAATTGTATTTTTTTTTTCATTGTAACTGTTGCCCCGAAATTGCTTTCGAGTGATAATTTGATCAATATACTTAATAAGAAAGAAATAATTCGCATACACACAGAAAACAATGCGGGTTGGGAATCAAAAACTTTGATAATGCATCCTACAATTACCGCTTTTCATAAACAGTAACCATTCAAAACGAAACATGATAGATGACGCTGTCTTATTTCGAGAAACCATTCATCCAATGACTCAGCACCAGAGTCTCAGGCTTTTACCCTGAAGGTCCCGAGTACGATCCTTAGAGCAAAAACATTTTTATATTTTTTCAAGCTTTACTTGTCATTAAATGCTACTTTTGATGTTTAAAGGTATTCACTTAGCTATCTCAATTGATGACCGAGAGTCAGAGTGATTGATTTGACGCAGCAAAAGACAAACGGATCAGTAGTTTACACAGATGTCAATCCTTCTAACATCTTCAAGTCATTTCCCCTACTAAGAATAATGTGATTCTAACGAGCTTGGGCGCTTGAGGAGTGAGATGATTGTAAAAATCGCGGAGACACCTTTTGTGGCTTACTTATCAAGCTATGGAATTATCTTGAGAATGCTTTTCCGAAGGTTATTTCAGTCGCTGACCATAGCAAAATCCAAACCTTTCCGTTATGCTGAAGAACACTGGGAGTAATTCAATAACCAAATTTTCATTCATGATAGGATTCATTGAGGTTTTGGGAAAATTGTTCTGGGTTGTTATGATTCAAGCGCAAAAAGATACAAAAACGACGCCCCTCAATTACACATTCTGAAGCCAGATTATCGGTTTTGAAAGCTAGTGCCTGTCACCCTCCGTGGCCCAGTGGCAGAATTTCCGCATCGTCACGTAGACTGAAGGTACAGAGTGTAATTCCTAATGCCACTTATTATTTCCTTTTATTTTACAGTCCATAAATGGTAGAATCACTAATATCTAAAGGTATGGTCAAATGGCATTAATGCAGCGACAACATAACAACAACAGCGCGGTCGCGCATCTCTCTAGCTCGTATTAACTCCTGGTTACGTGGGTAGCCTACTAGCCAATAATACCACAAGAATTTGATGATCGAGAACCTCTGTTGGATTTAAGGAGTATAAATAACCTTTTAATAGGGTTTAGTGATGCTGAATTGTCTGGGAATGAGATTTCCCAGACCTTAAGAATACTGTTATTACAACCACCTTTCCCCAGCCCCTGAGTTGAGGCCTGACCAGCGAAATCGTCGTGTTCTTGACAAATCTGTTTAAAATTATATCAGCAACATTTATACAGGGTATAAAGTTAGTAGTGGATCAACGGAAGTCAGGTGATAGAGGGCCTCAAAACATATCGAATGAACACCTATGTGTGGTCCAAAATTTTATATTTCGGGAGATATTTGCAATTTTGTGACATTTCGAAAAAAAAGTTTAGGGCTGTGATTTTTTTTAGATGAGCTAATTGGTTAGTTTTAGCAATGGTTATGTCACTTTTTAACAGCGCTAATTAGAAATCAACGCAAAAAATCTTAAATCTAGTTTTTTTTCAAAAATCTCTTCCATCCCTCAACTTTGGAGGGCGGTAAAAAAATTGAGGTTGTATTTCATTATTTATTTTATTATAGGAACTATTTCAATCCATGTAGAATAAACCCTGAAAATTTCATTTTGCTACGATAAGTGCGTTACTTTAAAAAACCTGTATTTTTGACGCAGGTGGGTATCTACACATGTAAACAAGAAGTTATATTTTACGAGCTACAGTCAAAACGACTTGATGGATTTTGACATATGAGGTACTGTTAGATTCGTCCTAGCAGTGCGAGAGATACTGTGTGTATTAACATTTTGTAAAATCAAAATGGCGGATTAGCCAAATCAGATTAATGAACTTGGGCATTTAACTCGGCATTCCAGGTGCGGGAGCGTTCAACCTTCGGTCCGACCGAAATAACTAAGACAGGCAATGGTCCAGCGCGGAATTTGTATCTAACGTTAAGCATCTGAGTAGAATCGTGTCATATTCTCCACGAGATCATGCAGAAATGCATTGCTATTATGGTGCTGCCCTAGGAAATGCTCGAGCAGCTACTCGCATGTATCGGGAGTATGTGGTTAGAAGAGATGGGCCACAACCGGCTGTATATCCCGACTACCGCAATTTTTCTACGCGTTTATAATGCGTATATGGAGGGCCGCATACTAGGCACTCATCGTCAGCTAGGAGCGCCATGGATACGCCCAGAAGAAATATAAGGTGTAATAGAAGCAGCCGAGAGAGAGAGAGATCCCTCTATAAGCATCAGAGTCATTGCCTGAAGCAGAAGCATATCCCATACTTCAGTGCACACAATACTACGCTCGGAGAACATGCATCCTTACCATGTACAAAAAGTACAAAAAGTACTAACAAGCGACTATGCACAACGGGTTGAATTTTGTGAGAATATGTTGAGAAGGTGCGAAGAGGATGAAACTTTTTTCGTCAGCACCTTATGGACAGATGAATCCAACTTTAACCGAAATGGAATATTCAACATGCACAATTTCCATTCATGGAGCGAAGAAAATCATGCTATTCGCCAACACAGCTTTCAACTTCAGTTCGGCGTTCATTTATGGGCTGGAATACTCACAAAAAATTAATTGGACCAGATGAATTGCTTGCCAGGTTGAATCTTGCTATTCTACAAGGCAGTTTGCATGAGCTGCTAGAGGATGTACCTTTGAGCGTTCAAAGCGGAATGTATTTTCAATGCGATGGTACCCCATGGCACTTTGCACGGGACGTACGGCATTACTTAGACAGTGCCTTTCCTGGGCGTGGGATAGGTAGAGGTAGGGGCTTTATAAGGGGATAATTTGTACATCTGAATATACAAATGTCAACCAAGTGCGCCAGAAAATTGATGAAGCAAAAATAAAAATTATGGAAAACATAAATTTATTTCAAAGACCAAAGGACAATTTTATTAGAAGGTTTCGCTTGTGTATAAAAAATAATGGAGGCCATGTCCTTTAAAAGTTAGTTAAATTGTCAAATTAAATTATCTTCCACATTTTTCGGTAAATTGCCAAAAAGAACGGCAATAGGTTCTGTACTTATGGACGGTAAGGATTCTATTGCGTTTCTTAGGTTTATCGCATCACAACAACGAATGTGACATAATACACTCATCATAGCAAGCTGAAATTTTTTGCATTTATTCTACTTGGATTGAAATTTTTTTTACAATAAAATGAATAATGAAATACAACCTCAATTTTACTGCCCTCTAAAGTTGATGGATGGATAACATTTTTCACAAAAATAATAAATTTAAGATTTTTTGCGTTGATTTCTAATAAGCTCTGTCAAGAAGTGACATAACCATTGCTAAAACTAACCATTTAGCTCATCTCAGAAAACAAATTACAGCCCTAAACCTAATGCTTTAGTTGTAATTGTGATTGAACGTTCATTATCCCGTTTTTTCGAAATTTCACAAAATTGCAAATATCTCCTGAATTATAAATTTTCGGACCACACATATAGGGGTTCATTCGATAGGTTTTCAGGCCCTCTATCACCTGATTTCCGTTGATCCACTACTAACTCTACACACTGTATATATCAAATAGATAACGTTCTGTAACAAGCATAATGCTTATTAGTTCTCACATTTCTGTATGGACTAAAGACTGCTCTTAGGAAATTGACTCAATCTCATAACCGAACGTAGATATAAAAATATCGTGAATGCAAATTTTGTAGCTTATATATCAATTTCAAAATTATCTTAGGAATATTGTTTCTATATATATACCAAGTAACTGGGAACGTTTAAGTTTTACGGTTACTGAGAAGATATTATGCAGCATTTCAGCGAATTCAGCATAAACAACAAGAAATTACACTCGGCAATAATATTCTGTGTAATATTTAGAAGACTGTTATAAATAAATCGAAAACCAAGCAGATTTTCATAAATTGTTAGTCACTGACCACCGTGAGCTCCGGAGACTTTCGTTCTGCTCATTTTAATAACCTAAATCTAATTTTTCAACCATATCAGAATTCTCGTGAGGCTTTGGAAAAATCTTGTACTCATTTAGCGGGCTGTAAGCTTACAATATACGAGGGATGTATTTTAAGTTTTGCATATAGAAACACAGTAGGCCGCGCGGATCGAACGTCAGTACTGAATCTTAACCTCACTCTTTAGTAAACTTAAATTCAGTTTCAGAGTTTCACAACAATACGTGCAGTATTCTCATTTCAGTGAATTTTTAAGTGTCACCAAGTCATTAGAAAAATTAAACTCAGTCGAGAACATTTTCGCGCCATAATTTATTACAACTTTCAGAGACAATTATCGCAACAAGAATGCCTTGCTGAGTTACTGTCTGTTTTCGGCAATGAAGCGCCACATCAGTCGACAATTTCCCGTTGGGAGAATTCAAACGTGGACGGGTGACTCTTAGCGACGATCCCAGGGTGGGATCACCAAAAACGGCAGTCACCCAGGAAAACGTCGATGCTGTGCGCAAACTCATCATTGAAGATAGACATGTGACATATCGCGAGATTGAGGCGTCCTTGAAGATCTCAAAGACCTCAATTCAAAAAATTTTACATGAAGAATTGTAAGAAAATTAGCTTCTCGTTGGACACCCCACCTGTTGACTGAAGAGCAGAAAGCAGCCAGGGTTAATTGGTGTTAAAAAACGCTTGACCGTTCCAATTCCGGAAACTCAAAAAATGTGTACAGCATTGTTAGTGGTGATGAATCGTGGATTTACTGTTATGAACCAGAAAATAAACGACAGTCGGCTGTTTGGGTGTTCCAAGGTGAAGAAAAGCCAACAAAAGTCATCCGTTCTCGATGTGTTTCGCAAAAGATAGTCGCGACATGTGTCAAAAGCGGGTCATATTGCAACAATTCCTCTTAATGAGCAAAGAACTGTTACTGCGGATTGGTATACCACCATTTACTTGCCAAAAGTCATCACCGAGCTTCGGAAAATCAACCCCGAAAGAAGAATCATCCTCCATCAAGACAATGCAAGCACGCACACAGCCCAAAAACAAAGGCAGTACTTAACGGAAGAAAACGTGGAATTATTGGACCGTCCTCCATATGGTCCCGATCTAAGTCCTAACGATTTCTTTACTTTCCCGAAAATTAAGAACAGACTGCGTGGTCAAAGGTTCGAGTCACCAGAAGAAGCAGTTGACGCATTCAAAAATGCCGTTTTGGATCTGCCAGCAAACGAGTGGAATAAGTGCTTCAAAAATTGGTTCGAGCGCATGCAGATGTGTATTAATCTTCGTGGAGAATACTTCGAAAAACAATAAAGTCATTTAAAACTACCTGCCGTGTTGATTTATTTCCATATGCAAAACTTAAAAGACATCCCTCGTATACATACTATCTCTGTTGATCGAGGCGGTGACAAAGCAGTACATGAGTAACTACGGTGTTGTTGTTGTTGCCGTTGGAAGTGATCTAGTGAAGTGACGGAGCTCATTTAAATTGTATAATGGCCGCTGATGAAGCTGATGTGGCCAATTGGCTTTTCCTGCTTACCGGCAGCTCGACCTGCTTGTACAACACACACGAACAAATGACAAAATTCCCACCTGCTAACTGTACAGACGCGTACTAGATCGATACGAACATCAAACATTTGAATCGTGAACTCATGTATACAGAATGAGCCATTATAAATAACATGAATTTGTGTTTCTCAAATAATACCTTACGACCAAATGGCTGACATCTCCGATTATCGGATTTGTAGTGGAACTAGAAAAATTTTATGAATATAAATTGTATCACAAACTAAAGTTTAAACATTTTCCATTCTTCAGCATAGGTACCATAAACATTCAAAAATGCTAAGATTTTACACGGAAATGGTCGAGAATTTAAAATAATATAATAATATCTGTAATAACATTTTTATTTTTTACTATTTTCTTTCATTATGCAACTTTTGTATAGGTGATTTTTGTTATATCAACTCCTTTTGACGAGTCCTACAAGCAGTTGAAATAAATGACTCAACTTTGGAAACACCCTGAATAATACCATAAACAGCGCGACACTATCCTCAAACAACACCAGTCACTTCAAGCACTCACCTCATTAGAACTGTGTAATCTTTTATAATAAGCTACCTACTTATGTATCAACATGGCCAATAAATACTGCTACTACTACTACTAGTATAGTAGGGATTATATTTCAGTTATCTCTATATGCACCATGAAATAATCAGACGAAAAGTACTGAGAATACTCTTCCAAGCAGACTGTTAAAAAAAGGGTTATGTGACGTTAAGATATTTAAAACCTCTAAAACAGCATGAACTAAACAGTTTTATCCGTAACAGCTATAAGTGTGAAAACTCATAAACTAGAAAAATGGAGTTATCTTCTTTTTCTAGTAAGCTGGCAATATCAATGCAGTCCACAATGTTATACCCGTCAAATGATTAAAGGGAAAACAATTTTCATCGCTCACAGCGCTCCCAAGAGCGCGTGCAAAAGTTACATTTTTCATCATAATCTAATAATCTCGCGTACACACATGTTAAATGTTCATAATTGCACGTGTAATGGTAATTTGTATGGTAGATTAATTGTTCAGTGCATATAATGGTAAATGGAAAGAGCGCCGATTTTGTTGACAGGCGATATAGCGGTGGGAGGTCAGTGTGCACACGTTACTCTGTCACGGAATGTGGGGCGAGATGCTTCTTTTAACATGTAGCTCTACAGTATGGTTTTTGTAGCAGTTTTCTCTCAGTCCAAGACATCATGTGAATACTCGGCCTCTGGTGTGTGGAACGTCGCGTGGAGCGAACACGAGGAGCGCAGGCCATGAAGCATTCACACAAACACGTATGTATGTACTGTGGTATGGACGTCTTGCGGAGCGGCTCTCAAAAATGACGACCAGACCGCAAATACTGAAAAAGGAGACATGCTTAAAACAAGGTAGATTCTGAAATAAACGGCAGATATTAAAGCGTAAAGAGGGGGTGCTGGCCTAAGCAGCACTTCTGAGCTTTGCCACCGAACAAATTCCATTAGAGGCTGTTAAAGAGATACAGCAATATGTTCCATTACAAAAAATGGTAAACCTGATGTCTAAGAGGGCGTATGTGATCAAGCTTATGGGGTGGAAAGCGGTAGAATTTAGATGCTTTGCGGTAGAACGGCATACCGTAATAACGTTAGACCTGGCAGCACTAGTGGACCTTGGCCCGTCGCGTGTGAGGTTTTGTTTTCAGGCGTACGGTTTTTACATGTACGCTGCAAGCACACAGGTTGGAGCGCGTTCCAGGAACGTTGTTACATATCTTGTGCACCATGTCAAGTGCAGTCTCCAAGCATGCACTCCACTTCAATGTCCCAGGAGACACTACAAAACCGAAAGATTGGACCGCGCGTGTAAGTCGGCCAAGTGTTCGTTTGCAAGTACAATTTTTCCGGCACGTGTCAGTTTCTTCTTTCCAACGGATCATAGAAATATTTGGCCGCTAGTTTGTGAAACTCGTGTGGAACACCAATACAGAACCTAGCACCATTCACACGCACAAGTCAACCAAAATTGCGGTCTTTTGTGTTTACACGGACGGTTTTGGCTTGTGCACTTCGAGCGCAGAGATTGGATAGCGTTACTGATCCATAGTGAACATACGTTTTGACACTGTCGGACAAAAAGAACTCGTCTATCCGGTCACCTTAAGATAAAACGGGAAATCAGCCGTCCATCTGTGAAGCTTTTCTAAAAGGCACACGGTGTAAGGTCATAGAAGTGTTATATGAGTGCATTGGAGAGCATCGTGTCACAGCTGATCAATTATCAAGAACCGTAAGATGAGCTCCATCAAGTGAATGTGGATAAGCTTACCCCGCTGCTGTATAGCGTAATCTAAGAGGGCACCAGTCAGACGCTGGTGACGAAAACCAACTATCTACATCCGCGGTGAACTTTTCATAGTTACTTCTCTTGACCTCTTCATCCTTCCAAGCGCTAAATCAGAAGCAATGTCACAGTACAAGGTCCGCCTGAATAGCTGTCGAATGTAACTTCTAGAATTTATCCCCAATAACTTTCTCAACTCTATAACTATCGTCGGTCCACATGCGACTGAAAATTAATAATAACAGCAGTTACGGGCAATTCAAGGTGTTAACCACATAATTATATTTGATCGGCATGATTAATTTGAGAAACGTTACCTGATAGCTTAATTCTTTCAGGTTTTTTTTTGTACAGGGAAAGCTATTATAGCGAATCTCCGGCAAAAAAGCTTAACGGAATTATCATGCTGACCTTTCCTGCCCGAAGTGTGAGATTTTCCAGAAATGCACATCCTACCGCAGTAATGCTTGGAGAATTATATCATGGTGGGTACTGGGTAGCGTGGCTCTGCATCTTCATACGAAAGCTATTTAGTAATCTTATTTTCAGCGACGCACATATATGTAAGTGCCTATGTATATCTATGGACAACGTAGCAAGAATTGTTAGTTCCTTGGTCTATTTTTGTTGTTCCGCACGTTGCCCAGCATCATTCGCCTCACTATTTGTTAAATATCTCTTTATACTGTTTAAAATATATAAATAATAGGAATGTGCCAGTAGAGCGATTTTGAACTTCCATTCTGCGTACAATTTTAAATTTGACATTTCAGTCAGGTCCAATCTCTAAATTAAATTTTTTTAAATAAAAATTAATTCCAAATTCAGTGTCCTTTTTATGGTCTAGTAGCAGCCACGAAGGACACGAGTGCCGCTATATGGTCGCTTAGTTTAAATACGAGACATTATTAAGCAACTACAGGAGTATATAAAAAAACAGGTCACGCCATGCAAATAGTGGTTGTTTAGCAACCATGTTCAAAACATAATACTGGCCGCTATTTGTACAGATATTAAAAAATACCACTTAAAATTTCAAATACTTGAAAATATTGTATTCAAAAATACAAATATAAAAAATCCCACAGAATTGGGATTACATGGCAAATTTCTCAAGATTATGCGTAAATGTATATTTGTTCATAAAAAACGGGTAAAATGAGCTTCAACAAAGTTTTAATTGGCCCATAACTTACGAAGATATGTTGAATAAAGGTTTTACTAGTTGACGGTGATTCTTAAATACGGTGGTCAAAGGATCACGATTTGGATCGCGTGACCTAATTTCTTATATGCACCTACAGATGACTTATAATGCCCCACATGCAAACTGAGGGGAATTTAACTGAACTCGTTACCTTAATGGTTGCTCCTAATCTATTAGTCTCACTGCCGTTGTAGATGCTTTGCAGACATCCTTCGAATAGTAAAATATCCTCCATACCGCGTGGATCCCATAAGTGCCTTGAACGGATTTTCAAAAAATGTCAACGAGGTTGCTCTCCGAGGATCAGTTTTAGGTCTAGTGTTGTTTCAGTTACACATTATTGATCTTTTTACCTGTGCAATGGATCCTATCCATAGAGCTCTGCGGATAGGGGCTTTTTACATACAGGTAGTTAAGAGTGCATGACCAATCTAGCTTTGCCGAAACACCTGAGACGCAGTAATTTTATGAGAGTTGCCAAGCAGAGATCCAGTTTAGATAGGTGGCCGAGCTTGGCTGAAAAGCCATTCGTTCCACCTTGTTCGAATAACCGATGACATAATTCTCACTGTAGGAGCTCTTTTGAAACACGCCAACAGGCAATGCTAATCATTCGCACTGGCCTGATTTGCAGGATTTATATGACTAGCATGTACAACTTTTCTGTTAACCAAGTTCAAATTTTAGGGTTATTCAAACCTAATCTGGAATTATGTGTCCAATGCGTACGGTTCCGCCAACTGCCGACCAAACATATCCTTACCTAAGGTTGGTGTTTACCCAGTATTAGAGCTCCTTCTACACAAATGTTTGACAAGGCGCACGACACTCCTTGGTACAGTAGATGGAGTATATGTCCGATTATTTAATCTAATCAGCCACTAGTCTGCCTATTCTAATACTTCTTCCACCAAACCTTATTGCCAGTTATGCACCAAATTACTAGACCAACATTGACCCACCAGTGTGGTATTGTCAGCACACAAGGAGTAAGTTTCCTATATTTTGAAACACACTTAAGACGCTATTCTAAGTAACGGGAAATACATCACTAAAAAATATCTTAAGACATAACAATGTTACGATACCCAGAGATCTCATATTTGGAGAAATTTTTTTTTTTGGAGCGTAAGACTTCGAGAGACGTCACATGACCTCAGCTACCACCGCTACCATAAAGCGATGCGCCGGCGCGCACGCTTCTGGCTATTT